TAAAAATCGTCCACAAGTTTGCGTCGGTAGGAAAACCGCAACATAGTCGTCAAAACAGCAACAACGGCTACCTGCTGCTTTATTGCGGGTCTTCCGTTCCCTTTTTCCTGCGACGCACAAGACGGATTTTCGTCTCGTGTGAATTCAATTGTCACATCTGTAATTACTCGCTCGTTTACTCGATTTGTTCGAGCCCTCTTTCCCGGTTGACAAAAGCGTCGGCGCGCGTTTATACAGTGTGTTTGGTTTGTGTTTGTCACACGCGCGTTCGATAATAGAATTCTCTATTGCACCGAAAAAAAAAAAACATCGCCGTGTGATGTTTTCGTCGATCCTTTCCTTCCTCCCTGTGTGTTGTCACAACGAGAGCGCTTACAAAGTCGTCGGAGATACGTTCTATTATTTCTACCCTTACGAAAATATTATATATTTTTCACACGTTACGTATATTATAGTTTTTGGTAACCGAGGTAGCATTTTAGAACGTGAACCTCGGGAAATCAAGTGACTGCGACACTTATATAATCTGTCGAAGAAGAACGTGACCAGTTTAATTTATGAAATTTATTGAAAAATTTATTAATTTGTAATAAATGAGTTTTAGGCTCTTTTAATTACAAACTAAGCGAAATTTTGAATGACATCATAGGAGCCTTACGCCGATTGGTTGTTGCGTAATAAATATATGAGCATTTTTTTTTTAAAGTGGTTAAGTCCATTTTTGAAAAAAAAAAAATAAGTGATAAATGAGGTGTGACCTCCGGCTCCTTTTGGTAACTCCAATAAATAGAATCAATTAGCAGGGCAATAATGATCCATGGCAGGATGTTGTGCCGTAGAAAAAATTGAAAAATGTAATCGAGACGTTTCGACTTTATTTTTTTAAGTCCTTATCGATCTAAAATTATTTTACAATATAAAATTATTTTACAATCACTGTTAACCCAGTATTTACAATATATAATTGATTGTAAAATAATTTTATATTGATAAGGACTTAAAAAATAAAGTCGAAACGTCTCAATTGCATTTTTCAATTTTTTCTACGGCACAACATCCTGCCATGGCTCATTATTGCCCTGCTAATTGATTCAAAAAAAAAAAATAAGTTAGTGATAGTTTTAGTGAGACATAGATGTCCTTTTTTTTATATTTATAATAACACAAAAAAAATGGACTTATATCACTTTCAAAAAAACAACGGCTCATATATATTTTATAATTATACTTTACTTTTGTAAAGTTTTGCGTGAATTCGAAATGAAAATGCAATTTCTAAATTCATACAGGATGCTGAACTTGCATCACGTATATGAGAGATATCCTCGTTTACTCCTCTAACTAATTTTAAAATATTGCGCAAAATTTTATGCGACAAACAACCAGCGTGAGGCTCCTATGACCATCCAAAATGTTGCGTAGAAAAATTTATATTACATAAAACTGAAAACACATGTATTTATTTTACTCGATTTGTGTGTGTGTGTGAAAGAGAGAGAGAGAGAGAGAGAGGAAAAGATCAAAATGTTTGAATATTAATAATGTGTTCTATTGTCAACAATTACCTGATATCTTTGAAGTTTACGTCTTTCCGCTGACCTTATTCTTGCACTTGTATCTCAAGATGTTAGGCAATTATTGACAACAATGACAACTGAACGCGTTAATACAAAAGCATTTTAGTTTCACGCACGTACAATCGAGAATGGATGTAGTTACATGTTTTATTTTATTTTTTTATTTTTTTTTTTTTGTATGATAAATTTTTCTGTAAACTGATCACGTTCTTCTTTGACAGACTGCGCAGAACGACAGTGACGATTCGAGAAAGATTGATATATTATTCACTGCAAGTTTTTACATAATTGGCGGCAAATGGTTGACATTCTTGCACAATTATGCGCGTGTACGTATCGCAGTAGTGGCAATATTTCCCGGTTCGCGCGTCAAGTGACATTTCGATTATCTTCGCGAGGAATGCGGCAAAGTGGAATTTCTTTAACCAAGGCGAGAATGTGCGTGCGCGATGCGCGCAACTTCTGTTACGAGAACTTCGCGCGATTCTATCTCGCGCGCAATCGCAAGAAATCGAATGATTTTTCGCTATTTAAACGCGAGTTCGGTCGCAGTGTGAAACGCTCGCTGCGCAAACGCTGAACCTGTACAATTCTCGCAGAAAAAAAAAAAAAAAAAACAGATACCCTTCGCGTTTTTCACGCATAAACGTTCTCGTTGATGGCATCTCTCGGTGTTGAGCAACGCCGTTGCCTTGACACGCAAAGCGTTTTTCAACAAACAAAAAAAACAATTCATATCTCGTAGAAGAAACACCGAGCAATTACCGTTAAAGATTTTCGACGGCGCAATTAAATCGAAGTTTGAGTTTTCCGCGGGCAAATTCTCTCGTGTGTGTTAATTTCTTTTTTTTTTTGTCCGTTCTCGATAACGTGTTTCTTCGTTGATCGCGCGGCCGCTTTTTTTGTCGAAGAACAACGAAGAAGACCAACTCTATCGCTCGAGTCGCGCATCACAGCGCGCGCAGTAAGCGCTAAATCTCGCAGTTTTACTTTCATTCCGAAAAAGAACAAACAAACAAACAAACGAACACACATACGGGTAATTTTATAATAACGTATATTGATATTACGGTGCGTTATCGTCGAAACACACAGCGCTTATTGATATTATCGTCAAATTCTCTCGCAAGTGGAACAATAACGCGTAAATGGAAACGGCATTGGAATTAACAACAAAACAAAAATAAAAAAAAAAAAACTAACGAGAAATATTTTTATCTCGTTGTTGCTTTTTCAATATAGTTTTTTTTTTTTTTTTTTTTCTATTTCGAGACATTTGGTTTTTTCTGTCTTACGCGTCCGGGCACTTGTCACGACACGACAGAACGGCGCAGCCGCCAAGAGCCGTGTTATTTCTACACGACGTATATAATTGTAGCACGCAAAAACGCGTTGCGTAATAATTGAAAGGGCTTTTTTTTGTTTTTCGTCCTGTGACGCTTCCTACGATTTAACGAGATCGATAGTGTGTTTGCTCGGGAAATGGGGGGTTCGACGTTTTTTTAGAACTCCCATTTCACATCCGACCCAGCCGGAAATAAAGATGCTCCCATCCGGGCGGCGTTCCGGGCGGCTTTTCCAACGACTAAAAGTGCGACGACGACGAATGACTACGCCTTCTCGCAACGATTTTGCTCCATAAAGGACATTTTGTAAAGTGGCGAGAATTATCGCGCGCGTGGGTGTCTCGCGGAAGCGCATCCTTCGCCGCGCGTACACGCGTTCGTACACGCGGATAAGAGAGCGGCGCGATTTTCTCGCCAACGCGTATTGATGTGTCATTTGTGCGCATCCGAGCTGCTTTACTCAATTCATTACATCGCGTGAAGGTATTTATTTTATTTTATTTTTTTTTTCTTTTCTCGAGAATACAAACTTCACACAAATTTGAAACGCTTTTGCTTTAATCGCGTCGTTATGAAGTTGCGTCGCGAAGTTTATTATCTCCTGGAGTGTCTCTTCACATTCTTAACTCGCACTCGGCCACGTCTTTTATACCCCTCTTGCTTTCTCGACCGCAAATCCTCATTTGCCGACGAAGCCGGTCATTTTGTTGTTTTTTTTTTTCTTCTTTTTTTTCTGCCCTCTAACGAAATCCTCTGACTGGTATTGCTACGGCGCGACGTGGTGGCAGTGCGGCGTTGCGTGTCGCACGCGAAAACCTTTCGAACAATGCTGCACCGCCACTTTGACACGCCACGTACGTGCATTCACGCTCGTCAATTTTTATATCGCAAACCGCAGTGCAAATTAATTAACTTATGAAAAAAGAAATCCCCTCCCCCCAAAAAAACAATTTAAAACATGGTTTTTATCGTATGCCCACACACATATATGCATTGTGCGTGTGTGTATATATATACACATTTAATATTATATATATATAGTATATTAATGTGTGTGTGCGTGGGCATGTGCGTGCGTGCGCGCGCGCGTGTATTATATATATATAAAATGAACAAGATAGATAGAACGTCACGAGTCTCTACTTTGTATATTCAAAGTGCTTTTTATCTTCTGGTAATCGCGTGTTCCCATACATCTTTTAATTTGCATAACAAATCAGAATCCTTTGTTAACGTTTTTTTTGCCGGTACTCTCACACACACAGAGCACCTCTACTAAGGACACGTTTCTTTGGACATTTTCACAAGAAATAAATAATGCAACGTGTAGGTTTATATCTGTAGTGTGATGTCGTTTAGTGATTAATCAACTTCTGTGTGTTTTCTTTTTTCTTTTTCTCTCTCTCTCTCTCTCACACACACTCGTTCGCTCGCTCTTACACGCTGACACTGACATTATGCCTGAACGAAAAGTCGTTCCTGGCGAATGTCCAGAATCACTTCGAATCTGCTTTGTGACAGTTCGGAAACTCTAAGGTGCTAAATTCGTACCGCGAAACAGGTGGAGTGTAAAGCCGGAGCGTGCGCGATCTCGGAAGAAAACGTGTTTCGATCGGCATAAATCGTTCGGGGGATGACTCGGCCGCGTGCCTTAAGGAACTTTTCGCGGTGTTATATTCCACGAATCAAGTTGATTGTAAACGCCGTCCGGTATCTTATTGCGTTTCGCTACGTGGCAAGAAAGTGATATAAAAAATTTTATTGCTTGTTTTGCTCGTGTTGCTTTTTTTTTTTTTTTTTTTNNNTTTTNTTTTTTTTTTTTTTTTTTTTTACGCTTCAGTAAAGCGCAACGGGCGTTCTTCAATTTCTCTTATCGCTTTGCGATTTTGTGCGTTTGTTTCTTCGTAACGTACATATGTACGTTTGTTGCGCGGGATTCTCGTTGCGGTGGTCGTCCGAAGTGTATTAGAAGGTAAATACACACACACACACACATACACTCTATCGCTTATCAGTATCTACTTCTGAGATAAGCGGCGTAACGAAGTCGGAGCCGGTCCCCGAGCGCTTATCGCCGTCACTCGAGAAATGGATCCTCAGTTCCTCGCTTAACCGGCTGTCGTCTAGTCTCTCTTTCGTTTTTTACGTGATCGACATTTTTTGACCGAAAGACAGAGAGGAAGAGAAAAAAAAAGGTGCGACTTACTTACTAGCTTTTGTGTGTCATTTTTTTTTGGGGGGGGGCAAGGCTCCGTGCGAGTGCAAAAATTCGTTCGTATATCGACGTGCGCGTGTGCGTGTTCGACACGCCGTCGCGTATATGTGTGACACGCTGCTGATAGCGCTCGGGAACGATCGGTGGAAATTTATGTGCCAGTGTCGTGGTTTCGTTCGTTGTGCGAGTTTTAGTCTCTCTCAAAAAAAAAAAAAACTACCGCATTACCGTGGGTGATCGCTCCCGGTTACGCCGGCGCATTTAACCGGCAAAGGAAATTTATTGGAGCAGTTTTTTTTTTTTTTTTGCATACGGGAGAGAAGTAACCGCGCCTTCTTCTGTGCGGTGGTTCAACAACGATCCGCGTAACATATCGCGTTCGAATTTGCATTTTATATTTCGAACTTTTAAATATTTATTAATTTAAATATTCCATTTTTTTTTTATATTGTTCTCTGTGAAGTTTTGTGTGTTAAAAAAAAAACTTTTACTTGGAGAATATATCTGAAAAAAAAAAAAAAGGTCGAGAACCATTTTATACTGTTCTACAGTCATCCGGAAAATTCCCAACGCGATATCGTCGATCGCGTCGTGTAATCACAGGAAAAGAAACGGAGAGACCCCATTACAAAGCCGTTTCTGCGAAGCGATGGTGGGAAGAGTTTGCTGCATTGTCACCGGGCGTTCGTATGAACAATTAATGTGTACACGATAGCAAATCCGTCCTGGGGGGGTCTCCCTTTGTCGCGAACGATCGTCGCGACGATCGCGTCTCCTCGCCTCGGACAATTTTATATACGTTCGGAACTTTCTCAGTCTTTGTAAAAAAAAAGAAAAAAAAGATTTCCGCAAAGCGCGATATCCGTATACGCTTTACAACGCAAATTTGTGTTTTAGAAAGTCCACCTGTACAGGGTGTGTCGGGGAACGCTATCCATCCGCGCTTTCTCTTACCTTGCGGCTTCCTCGACATGAGTCACACATTGTAGATTAGATTACTTTTAACAGTGGTATTGTAACTTACTTTCGAAAGAGATGTGTTTTTGCGTTAAAATTATTACATATATCTCTCTGTATGCACGTACGGAGAAAACATGGATTTTCCAGAACTCATGATTTCGCGAACAAAATTTCCGAGACACCCGGTATATCGTCGATCTATAAATCTTACTCTTCCATCTTGTTTGAACGCGATTTATCGCATTTCCGAATGGAAAAACGGCACATCGGACATTGCTTGTCGTTTGTTCAATAAGTTCTCGTCGATCTTCTTTCGCCAAATCGGTTGTGTGTAATCAAAAATGTTGCGATTGCTTTCGATGAAGCGACGGAAGTTTCACTCAAATCTGCAACGTTAATTGATTGATCAGTCTTCATGTTTTTTTTCTTTTTTTTTTTTTAACTTAAACGAATCATAGATCTATCCAGTACGGAGAGGATTTTAATTTCTCGTCAACTCAAAAACTTGCTTTCTCTTCGGATATCTGAAATCAAGATCTCGTTTTATCATTCCGCTCTCTCTTTTTATCTTTCGATCTCGTATCAACAATAACGAAGCGTATTTGCAAGGAAATTTGTGAATCAGCTGTGAGGAAAAGTGAATAATACATAAATATTGTTAAATATTAATAATATATATATAAATATATTATTAAATATTTATATATATATTATATATAT